AGGAAGATGAGGCCCACTTCTCAGGCTTAATATTTGATTTTAGCTTTTGGAGTTTTTGCAAAAATCTAAAATAGGATTCCCAATGCTAGGAACTGCAAAAACAAAAGATAAGGATAGCCAAATATCTATCAATTTTTTACCAGTAGTTTTGTATAAAAATATGTGCCACACAGTGACCTAGTTTTGAGATGTATTGAAGTGCATAATTATGGGGCAATGGTTGGAAATTCTTCCAACCAAGCATCATTGATTAATGCTCTATCTAGTTTAATGTGAATTGGGTTGTCAGCTCTCTGATTGAACTAGGTAAAAAAATTGCTAACAGAAGCCAAATCCATCAAGCTAGCAACGGGTATTGTAAGGAGGAATAATAGATCTAATTTGATCCTAGAGCAACTTTCTTTCCTCATGGCTATTAGAGGCATGGATAACGAAAATGAGATATTGTTCCCGAATTTAACCCAGCCACTAATCATATGGTGAGATGTAAAAATAGGGGCAAATTCCAGTTTAGAAGAACAACATTTAAACCAGATTCTACCAAAATTTGTAGAGGAAAAATTATAACAGCTAGCTTCACTATTAAAAATTGTGTGAGTGGCATTGAGCCAAGGATCCGAGAGAGCATGAGCATTAATCATATTCTCCAATATACATAACATATCTAGGTGATTTTTCTGGACTATTTACTTACAGCAAAATACCTTATCTAGGTTATTAAAACCCCTTGTATTCCATGAGGCAAGGAAGCGAAAGGTCATTGGGATTTAAGAGGGTTTGGAGGCTTCTTAACTTGCTTGCCTCTAGTTATCTTTGGCTGGTGGATTGAAGTTGAAGTTGAGGGGTTAGTACATTACCATTTTGAAACCAACAAAAATAGGGATGGTATCAGGATAAAAAAAATTATTCGTGACCTGGACATATACCCAGGCATATGTGAGCCTATGTTATTTGTTGTTGGGGCTTCAACGGTCAGAGGACAACCAATTTTGCTAGCACTTTTTGATATCCCTTTTGCATTCCAACAAGAGAGGAAGACCGTGTATCTTAAGCCAGATCGGAACGGAAGAGAAACTTTCAAACTAGGTCGGAAGAGGCGAGACCACTTCTACAGTTCTGTAAGATGAATGGTTTCCCTAGGAAGAACAATGCTCCACCAGACTAGGCCATCTAGTAGTCCTCAGGGCACAACAACTTTTAACAAAAAAAGCCATCGCTTAATAAGAGGAGTTTCAGAAAACCTTTAAGCTTACAGCTCTTATAGATCACAACCAACAAGGCTTCGTAGTACAGCCTACGGCCGATCAAATAGCCGACTAAGGATAAGTTCCACTCCGCAAAACCTATAATAATCTCTTCTTTAGAAAAGGGAACAACCTTCTCAAGAGTAAGGGATGAATGATAGGAAAAAGTCTTTCGAGGAGGAACCTAAAGATGTGAATAAGTGTTTTCAGTTTAGAGATGAAGGGTTAAGGCAAGATATGCCCACAACTTGATTAGAAAGATGGGGAAAATCATTTATGAGGGATGAGCAATCCATGATGGGGAAGTGGTAAGGGTTTTCCTTTGACGAAGCCGAAGGAAGGGGAAAGAGGGGAAACCAAATATAGGCAACTAGGGAAATAAAGAAACCCTAGCAGAGCTCCAGCCGTAAAAGCTCCATCAAACAATTTCTTCCTTCCGATTTGAAGCATAAATTTCATGTATTTTTAATATTTAGAATTCCTTTGGGGTGGCTGCATCTTTTTATAAATATGATCATCAAGACAATAAATTTTTTAAAGCTGCTACAAAAAGCAACATCATTGTAAAAAATTTCTTGAAAACAACAAATAATAATAATGAAGAAATAAAAATTGTGATTACTGTCTAAAAACAAAGCAGTAAGAAAACTTATCCCAAATGAAGCCTTAAATTATAGCTGTGATGTTGTCGTACCTCAATAAGAGCAGCAGATACATACATCTTGTTGCAATTTTTCCTCACTCAAATTTTAGAGTAAAGAAACTTAAGATCACCGTCACCTTCACCATAATTGAGCCATTTTGCTTAGGCTCTTTGTACAACCCAAGAAGACCAAGCTAAAGAGCAATCAACAATTTGATAATTAAGAAACTTCATTTTACCATTTAGGGAGACATTTAGGGGGTCAAATTCCATAAGAGACATACAATAGCTTTGTTGTTTATCAAGATCGTTGAGCATGGAGGATAGAGAGGAACATGAGGCCCACTTCTCAAGCTTAATATTTGATTTAACTTTTAGAGTTTTTTGCAAAAATCTAAAATAGGATTCCCAAGGCTGGCAACTACAAAAACAGAGATAAGGATGGCCCAATATCTATCCCAATATCTATAGATTTTTTACCAATGGTTTTTGTATAAAAATATGTGTCACACAGTAACCTGGTTTTGAGATGTATTGAAGTGCAGAATTATGGGGCAATGGTCTGGGCAAGAGGGACTCTGGATAGAGTAGGAGCAAGGAAATTCTTCCAAACAAGCATCATTGATTAATGATCTATCTAGTTTAATGTGAATTGGGTTGTCAGCTCTTTGATTGAATCACGTAAAGAAATTTCCAACATAAGCCAAATCCATCAAGCTAGCAGCAAAAATGAAGTAGTTGAAATCCCCAAGTCTATTGGAGTGTAAAATATTCCCCCAGCTTTGTCGGATCAAAGCCTACAACAGTTAAAATCTCCTATTACACTCCAAGGGATATTGGAAGGAGGAATAATAGATTTGATTTGATATTAGAGCAACTTTCTTTCCTCATGGCTATTAGAGGCATAGATAACGAAAATGAGATATTGTTCCCAAATTTAACCCAGCCACTAATCATATAGGGAGATGTAAAAATAGGGCAAATTCCATTCTAGAAGAACACCATTTAACCCATTCTACCAAAATTTGCAGAGGCAAAATTATGACAGCTATCTTTACTATTATAGATTATGTGAGTGGTATTGAACCAAGGATCTGAGAGAGCATCAACATGAATCATATTCTCCAATATACATAACATATCTATGTGAGATTTCTGAACTATTTGCTTATAGCAAAATACCTTATCCGGATTTTTAAAACCCCTTACATTCCATGAGACAAGGGAGCGAAAGGTCATTGGGATTTAGGAGGGTTTGGAGGCTTCTTAACTTGCTTGCCTCTCGTGATCTTTGGTTGTTGAACTGAAGTGGAAGTTGAGGGGTTAGTACATGACCTTTTTGAAACAAACACAGAATCAAGTTCCTCCTACACATTAGACTCTTTGAGCACTTCAAAATTATTTGGTGATATGAACTTGTTTGTCTCTATGGTTAAGGACTTAGGGAGGTGGTTTCCTCGTATGAGTAGTTCAAGTTGGATAAAATGGGATTGGTTTGTGTGGGGTTGGTAGGTCGGTGGGGAGAGGTAACTGTAATGGTGGGAGCAACTGTGGATGTTGTTTCTCTATGGTTGAGGACTGAAATGGGATTGGTTTGTGTGGGGAGGGGGAACAATGATGGTGGGAGCGACTACGGATGGAGGAGAAATTAGAGAACTTGATTGGGGGAAGGATGAGGGTAGAGATTGGTTAGGGAGATTGATAGAGTTGTTTGGGGTAGAATCTGAATTTTGGCACCTTCTGTTGACAATACTTCTACTTCTATCACGGCTTGATGTTCCACAGCGATGGGGTCGGCAACTTTTGAAGGGAACAAAGCAGTCGGGCGAGCAAGAGAACCACAAACTTCACAGGGAGTAGGCTTCCATTCATATTGAATCTTTAGATTCATACAAACCCTCCAACAAAAATAGGGATGGTATCATGATAAGAAAATTTATTCATAACGTGGACATATACCCGAGCATATGTGAGCCTACGTTATCTATTGTTAGGGCTTCAACAGCCAGAGGACAATCAATTTTGCTAGCACTTTTCGATATCCCTTATGCATTCTAGCAAGAGAGAGGAAGATCATGTATCTTAGGCAAGATCAAAACGTAAGAGAAATTTTCACGCTGGGTGGAAAGTGGTGAGACCATTTCTTCAGTTCTACAGGATGAACGGTTTCCCAAGGAAGAACCATGCTCCACTAGACTAGGCCATCTGGTAATCCTCAGGGGACGATAACTTTAACAAAAGGAAGCCATCACTTAATAAGAGGAGTTCCAGAGAACCTTTAAGCTTCTCATTCTTATAGATCACAGCCAATAAGGCTTTGTAGTACATCCTACAACCAATAGAATAGCTAACTAAGGATAAGTTCCAGTCCTCAAAACCTGCAATAATATGTTCTTTAGAGAAGGGAACAACCTCATTAAGAGTAGGGATGAAAGATAGGGGAAGGTCCTTCGAGGAGGAGCCTAAAAGATGGGGAAAATCATTTATGAGGGATGAGCAATCCATGAGGGGGAAGTGGTAAGGGTTTTCCTATGACAAAGCAGGAGGAAGGAGGAAGAAGGGGAAAGAGGGGAAACCAAATCGAAGCGACTAGGGCAACAAAGAAACACTAGCAGAGCTCCAGCACGCAAAAGCTCCATCAAACAAGTACTTCCAAGTATAAACTTCATGTGCTTTTAATATTTAGAATCCCTTTGGGAAGGCTGCAGCTTTTTATAAATCTAATTATAGGGAAAATAATTTATTTAAAAGCTGCTACATAAAGCAGCATCTTTGTAAAAAATTTCTTGAAAGCAACAAAAAAAATAATTACAAATAAAAATTGTGATTGCAGTCTAAAAAACAAAGCAGTAAAAAAACTTAATCCCAAATGAAGCCTTAAATTATAGCTGCAACATTTTCGTACCAGTTTCTGCACCATGTATGCAGATATTTATTCGTCTTAAAGAAACATTCATCAAATGCTTAATCATTTATCTTATACTACCAGTTTAGAATCTATGCTATGAATCCTTCTCCATTCAAATGATTCTTACAGAACATGTTGGTTTTATTTTAACCAAATCATTCAACCAACCATATTACATCATTTAAACGATCATAATAAAAAAATGTGCTAAGTATTTCCAACCAGGTAGTCTTCATTTCTCTCAACTAAATGTCATTTTACAGCTTGTACCCAAAATTTCACATCCTGCCTCAGATTCTCTTTAAAACCAAAAAGAATAAAATTTCATGTCACAGACGCTAATAAGAAGGCTATGAGATATTTTGGTTTAGTTATCCCAGGCCAGGACAATATGGCGGTGGCCTGAGAGCTAAATAAAAAAAATAAACATGAAGCTTATCAAAATCAGTGTAGAACCTGAATGCAGAAATCCCTCTGCTTTGCGTATTTATATAAAAAAAGTTCTTAGGGAGGTTTTATCTTCTATGAGAGCTCCCAGCCTCTCCATATGATTTCTCTAGATGCTGAATGCCAGGACCATATACTCTGAGGCAGCGCTCACTGAAGGAACGTACAAGACGGGAAACAACTTCCTTAAAGAACATGGTAGCAACCTGCAACAAAAAGCCATTCTTCAGGTTTGTTAAAGTGTTGGTGCTCAAAAAATTTTAAATTTGCTCGTGGAAGAATGATCAAACAAAAGCTTGATGGGAAATTAGGCAATGATTAAAAAAGTTATTAATTGTTTTAAATACCATAAAGCTGTTATCATCATGTGTTCCTCAATATAATCTTTAAACCTTTGAACTCGTTGAGACTGACTTGTCAATATCTAAAAAATTACAAATATGAAATTTGTTGAACCTCATGGCTCATTAGGCAACTCGAGAGTCAAAAAGGACCTTTCTCATTTTTTGAGAAAGAGATATGAAAAACTAGTTAATGGCAAGCTAATGAGGTTAAACACAATGCTTTTAAGTATTCTAAAATGATAAATAAGCAAATGAATGTATTAGAACAAAGATCAATCAATCTCATGTGCTTTGTGAAATAACACACCATTTTGTGTTTAACCCAGTCTCATAAAAAACTAGCAGCAACCAACCAACAAACTTTTCTTGGAGTTCTTGTAAGAAATAGGTACCAAATTTATATGGTGTACTTTGCAGCATAGATCACACACAAACCTGCTGTTTCTTTTAAATATATGAATATATAAACCTGGAAATCATTAGAAAATTTCAAGTTCCAAGAGAAATGGCGTAAGAACATTCACAAGATCAAATTATCAAGAGATATGTGCGTGCTAGTGTCTTTCTCACTATATGTACTATAGGTGGACTTCTCTCCTCCTAAGAGAAGAATTAGCATTCTCCATCTAATCAAAATTTGATGTAATGGCCTTCAAATGTAAGATCAAAACCATCAATTCTTTTTGAGATCATAAAAACTGCCTGCATTTTCAAAAAAATTTAACATCATTTGGTCAAAGACTCCAATTGCTTAAGATATTTGCAATTTCAAATTGTTGAGAGTTCCAAATAGCTTGGAATTAAATACATAGATTTTTTATGATATCTTGTCAATATTGGACAATTTTGATTGGTGAAATGTAGGATAAAACTAAAATTTTACAAGAGCTTCTATATATTCTTCATCATTAGTATAGTTATGAGGCAAAGTGATACTCTAGGACTAAATTGGCCATACAGGAATATTCTGAGGACTTGGAGATTTTCCTGCATTTAAATATAATAACGACCTTACTTTTATATTAGTTGTGGAGTGATTAAGACTTTCCAACCAAAATAGATTATATAATTTGGTCAGTCTAAAACTGATTATAGTTTTCTAGTGATGGATTGCTAATATTAATGAGATTTGTAGCTGTAGTTTTACAACTTTGTAGAGAATTAGATAAAAGTTGTAATATTATAATGGTACAAATTCCAACTATTTTATATGGGGAATTTAAATGGTCAAGTACACATCTAGTTGGGATTTAACATTACTCATAGCTAAATTCAGATAATTCTTCTATCAAATAATATATTGGTATTGATCCATTTGTGTGAAATACCCGCATAATTTCTTCCAGCTAGAATCTACACTCACCAAATCTCCTATCATCTTTCCTTCCTCTTCTATTAGCACATCATTGATTCGTGGGACCCCTGCTACCAACTGATCAATTCATGAACAACATGAATTATATGTTGACCCGTAATACCAAAACAAAACAAAAAAAGAAAAAATCCCATACCTGCTGCAAGCGTCGCACGTCCTCGATGCAATTCGCACGTCGCTTGCACAACCGACGTCGTTTCCTCACACGACCTCGCGTCGTTAAAAGGGCATAAGAACGAAGCCATCGTGCTGCTCTCGCTCCTCTCCGAAGGCTCTCTCTCTCTCTCTCTCTCTCTCTCCTATAAAAAATCATAATTAATTATGTTAATTAAATATAAATAATTATAATTAATTATTCTTAGTAATTATAATTAATAATTAATAAATATACCTAATTAGAGATGATTATAATTAATTAATTAATAAATAAAAAAGAGGGCTTGCTTCTCTTGCCTTGCCTCGGTCGACCAGCCTTCCCTGTTGACCCGCGAATGTACGAATTTTCCTAAACTCAGACTCTCGCTTTCGCTGTTTGCGGTGGACTGGAAAACCGCCTACACACGCCTTTATTGTGCGTGATGGGATGGGAACCCGATCCGACGACTACGAGGCGAGCAATCACCTAAACTCTACTTCGGCGTTCGTGGCGCACCAGCAAACCACCTATACACATCTTTATTGCGCGATGGTGGGATGGGACCCTGGTGCGGCACCTATGGCGAAGCGGGGTCACCCATAAGTACCCTCAAGAGAGGGGAAAGCAAACTGTTTTTTTTTTAACAGGTACCGAAGACCCCATAAACGCCTTTATTGCACGTGGTGAGAGGAAAGATCACGGCCGCGGTGTCCTCATCTGAGGACACCTACCATACACGCCTTTATTGCGCGTGGTGGGAAGACCCAATTTCTCGAAGTTTTCCCCTAAACAAGGAAAACGCCGAAGCTGCTAAAATTTCGGGTGAATGTACGACCACACTGGAACCTAATTTTAACTCAAAAGGACAAGATATTGACTCAAATGAACATGGACTTGTGGACTTGAACCTGAATAAAACTCAAATGATTAATAAAAGTTGAAATCCAAATAAAATAAAATCAAACTTGAACCAAAATTCAAATCAATTCGACTATTCAGTTGAACTTGCAAGGACTTCAGAAGACTCTAAATAAGCACTTGAACATGTACTTTGAACTCAAACCGGGTTGAATACAAGGATCTATGAATTTGAGCACTTGAACTGATGCATTCAGACTTGAACTCAATGAAACTACAAGAACCTAATCTTGAAAATGAGCTACAAAGAACTTAACGTGGACCACAAAGAGCTGGACTTGAATGAATATGTGCTCTGAAAAAATTGAGTTGAAATGGAGCATATAGAACCAAACTTTGGATCGATGAATGAACAATCAAAATCTAAACAAATTTTAATCATTCAATTGTATCCAAATAAACACTATACAAGCAAATGTCAATCATGCTAACAGATGTACAAGGACTTGTGGACTTCGAAGTAACTTGCTTGAAATGATTGCATTTAAATAAACTTCATACAAGCAATACAACTCAAAGTGAACACAAGGACTTGCGATAGAAAGATCTGTTTGATCAAATAGACAACTGAAGTAAGTGAGCAAGGATGAAGAAATACAATGACATCTCTGTCACCAATAATGATCCAATTTCAAGAAAGTACATCAGCAAATGAGTACAATACATAGTGAATATGACAAGTTAATGATCAAGATTTGCTGAACAAGTCTTAAACAAATACAGTTGCAAGTGCTAACGTCATTTGACCTCAATGCATACAAACAAAGAATATAGTGGACTCTAACAACAGTATCTACGAGATTAGGTGCATTGCACCCGCAAGAACGATGAATGGTTGCAGAATGCATGGATATCCCCTATATGCATTATAGAAACCTCCAACACAAGCAACAATGTCTGTAGATTGAGATGACAACACAGTCAATTAATAGTGGAAGATTCGTGCTTGCAAACAAGTACATCAAAACCCACCTGAGATTGGTGAAAGGTGGATATGATGTAAGAGCAATGGCTCTTCTACGAATATCCCCAGGAGGTCATAGTGGCCACTTGTGGATAACAACAATGGGTGTATCGTAAATACAACGAACCCTTTTTTTTTAAATACAATGAACCCTTGTGGACACAAGTACAGATATCACCTACGACAGCGATGATCGAGATTTGCAGGTACGTCGGGTATAAGAGCAACCCGGTGTATGAAGAAGGACACTCCCTGACAGAAGGAAAAGGATGTTTGAACAAATTAGATCTAAACTTCCTGGTGTTCCAAAATATCTTCTTGATCATGTACTTAAGAAGAAAATAATGCTTGCATCTACAAATATCATAAACAACAAGTCTACTACACTAAAAATCTTGAAAGGAGATCTTTTCAAGGCAGCAGTCATTGATTTCAAAGTCCAGAAGAACCTCCTCGGTGAATGAGAAAATGTGAGTCAATATCAGGACGATGAAGTGCCTCATGACATCCAGATACACCGCCACCGGATCCGCAACACTCGTACTAACGGACATAAGGCGTGCATAAGCTCTCAAATGAAATGTTGTGTATTCAAATGGCAATTACCTGCACAACTATAAATATTTTAAAATACCCCTGCACATGCACTGTAATATGTATACACATAGGTACACAAGGGGTAAATGTAATCAAACACCCGTATGGGCCCAGCGAGCGTGTTATTGGTACACACGTAACGTCTAGGGAGGCTGCGCGGGTCAATAAGTGAATTCAGGTTCGAACATGATCCTTTTATACGGATCAATAGAAGTCGACAGGGTTTGAACCTTTGAATAAATACACGGTTGTGGTGATGGTGACCAGTGTATTTATTTTAATACATTTATATTAGGCCTTCAATACCTATAATCAAGAGAATTCGCTTATAAAGGTATAAAACCTATGAAACCCGATCCTCCTAAGCAGATAACTAGGAGTAGACAGGGTTCGAACCTTCAAACAAATACACGGTTGTGACGACCGATGTATTAGTTTTAATACATTCATATTAGGCCTTTAAGGCCTATAATAATAAAAATTTGCTAATAAATGCATGAAGCCTACGAGACATGATCCTCTGTTGACATCTCAAAAGAGTTGACAAGGTTCACCCATAAAACGAAAATGTTTTCAAATGAAAATGACCTCAAAATCACCCTGATGATGGCCGTATTGAATGAAAATCTCAACCGGAGGGATTAATTTCAGGCATTTTCAAATGCCACCTCAAATATCCACAAAGTCGAAAATTCCAAAAATCCCAAATTCCAAAATATTTAAAATTGAAACTCAATCATCAACCACTCAAAGCAAAATCCATCCACCCTCCGCAACAGCTCGCTGGGTGGACAAATTAAAATTTACTTCAGCTCACACAGAGCCAAATGCCTAGTCGAAAATATCACTAGGATCCATTTTCAAACAAACTC